CACACACACACACACACACACACACACACACACACACACACAAACTCTTCTTCTTTGGTTTCAGAGTGAAAACACTGGAAACAGCTGGAAGCCCAGCTGCTGCAGACGGGGACTTTTTATTGGTTAATCAGAGGTGGGAGCCTTCATCATCCTCATCCTCACTGCTCGGACACATTAACACTGACAGGGTTTCCAGACGTGGAGCGTCTGGACCTCTCTTCTTCTTTTGTGGTGCTCATGGGTCTGTGGTAGGAAGCAGGAAGCTGATGATGATGAGGCTCAGAAACACTGAAGAACCAGCGGCGTTCTTCCTCACAGTGGAGCTGGGCTCGGCCTCGCCGCCAGACAAACACCCTGAGGAGCATGCCCAATCGCGGCAAGCTGTTCGTACACGCGCCGGCGGTGCTGCGGCTGCAGGCAGTAAGCGATGCTCTCTTCCACCTCCTGGCAGCGCCGCAGGAAGCGGCAGCGATCTCGGGCAAGCTCCTCCCACGGGCCCCGCCGGTCCTCCTCCTCCTCCCCACAGCTGGCAAAGAATTCCTCCACATCGTCACAGAAACGAACCTGACGGAAAAGAGAGGGAGAAAACGCCATCAGCTCGGTCATACAAAGAAAGGTCAAAGGTCATCAGGTCACTGAAACCTCCAACAAATCAGCTTTCAAACGACTCAACTGTTTCATGCCCTACATCCTCACATCTGTACTGGGGATAAGTTGAAGCAGCAGAATCGTCGGGTTTGATTAAATCTTTGGGTCCAAACTGAGTTTCAGGCTTTTCTCATGTTTGAAGGACGTTTGGAGTCTGACTGAAGCTCAAATCTGATGGGAAACAACATCAGACGTCCTTCATTAAGACCTGACACGGGATAAGTCGTTCAACCATCAGGGCGCTGTGTTTTTGGCTTTCAGGGGCGAAAAGAGCGTCTTTGAGTTCATGGCCTAGATGTGGGCTCGCCATCACAGCTGTCCGGACAACCTGCTGGGAACTCTGGGTAAAGGCTGAACTGGGAGTTACTAATAAACTGGCCGTGTTTACAGAGTAAATAAAGCTCCGAGCTGCCGTCTGTTCTAATTACAGCTCAGATCCAGTTTCTCCAGGAAGCAAACAAACCCACAGGAGGCGGAGCTTCCTGCTGTCTGACTCATGTTTACTGTCAGACACTCCTCAGCTGCAGTTCCTCTGACGGCCAGCAGAGGCTCCAGCAGTGAGTCAGTGCCACAGACTCCCATGTTCAAATCAGCATGTTTACCCCAAATCACAAGTCAGTGACAGCAGCCAACTCAGTGTGCTTCACCTGGAAGGTAAATACCCACAAGAACACAAAAAGTATCAGACAACGGCCTCGGTGCACGCACTCTGCAACAGTGGGAAGGAAAAACTCCCTTTTAACAGGAAGAAACATTCAGCAGAGCCACACAATGAATAACTTTGTAAAAATAGTTTTTAAATCCTAAGTTAAGAGATTTATTAAATATTTTAGATTAAATAATTAAATATGTGACGTGTTAACTTAACCAGGTTGAACAGCATCTGCTGTAACAAACATGGAGAAGCTGCAGGTGTGTGGAGAGATCAGGATGCAGCGTGAAGACTTTATTTCTTCTGCTGGAAACTTTCAGCTCACTTTGAATAAACTTTATTTTCCACACGTTCTCTGT